AGTGCACCCAAACAATCCAACATTCTTTCAATCAGAAAATCAAACTCCCCAGTCGCCGCACTTGCAATTATCTGAACATCATCTGCATAAGCAAAACCCTTTAAAGAAAATTCATCAATGAGATACATAATATCGGCTGTATATAATGTAAAAAGAAGCGGGCCTAAAACAGACCCCTGGGGAACCCAAGACAAAACATCAACTGTATTTGACCAAGAATTATTATAATAAACCTGCTGGGTACGTTTGCACAAATAAGATTTGAAAAATTCCAAAGCTAAGTCACAGACACCGTAACTTAAACATAATCGACGTAACAGTGTATCATGATTCACACAGTCAAATGCGGCACTCATATCAAGTAGAGTCAGAAGAGAGACCTGATTGCGATCAGAAGCCTCAAAAAGTTCCGACAATACCTGTAACAAGGCCGTCTCCGTTGAATGAAAGCGTCTGAAACCAGATTGATTATTCGGAAAAAAGTTATTATCATTTAAATACTTTAGAAATTGTTTATGAACAATTCTTTCTAAAATCTTCGAAATAAAAGTTAAATTCGAGACAGGTCGAAAACTTTTAAGTTCATTCATGTCTAAAGACGCATGCTTCTGAAGAGGAATAATAATTGCATGCCCATAAACAGCTGGAAATGTGCCTGTTGACAGACACAAATTAATTAATTCCGTAAAATATGGCAAAAAATAATCTATATATTGTTTAAAAATATTAGCAGGCATACAATCAATCATACAGGAGGTTGACGGAGAACTAATTACAAAGGTTCTAACTTCAGACTGCGATACCCGCGAAAATTCACAAAATTTTATGTCAACATTAGACCTACACTTTATAGTAGGCTCTCCAGCTACAGATATATTGTGTTTTATCCCTTCAATTTTTTTAATGAAAAATTCAACAAAATCGTTAGCTGTATGGGTCATAGTACAATCATTTGATGACTCTTTACATAAAATTTTATTTAAGATTCTCCATAACATTTTAGGATCATTAGCATTTTCATCAACCAATTTTTTCCAATAATTTTCTTTTTTCTCCCTGAAATATTTGTTTTTTAACCTTAATGATTCAACCCACAATTTTTTGACCCCCATTCTATAATGTAATCTATATTTTCTTTCTGCCCTTCGATAATCACGCCCTATCTTACGACACTCCCGATCATACCAAGGTACCATATATATATATATTTATTTATTTATATATATATTTATATATATATATATTTATATATATATACATATTTATATATATATATATATATTTATCATTGTATGTTTTTATGGTGAAAAATAAAAGATGTTCCCATTATTATTATCATCATCATCATCATTATTATTATTATTATTGTTGTTGTTGTTGTTGTTGTTATTATTATTATTGTGGTTGTGGCTGTTGTTTTGAGTAATAATCATCATGATACATAATGAGGGTCATCGTAAACGACGAGATTAACATCGTCATCATCATCATTATCATCATCATTATCATCATAATCATCATCATCACTACCAACGACAACGACATCATTACCAGGACCGGGTCAACCGCTGCCCTGGAATGAGCTGTCGAAGTGTGAAGTCCTCATCCCAGCCACTGATGGTTAAAGATGATGATGCTTATGCTATTGGTGATGATTTCCATGATGAGGAGGGCTTTTACTTCTTCTTCTTCTTCTTAAGCATGCAAATCAGCTGTATGAATTTTAAATTTTAAAAAACAGCTTTTATTATTATTGTTGTTGTTGTTATTGTTTTCGAGTTGTTATTGTTGTTATTGTTGTTATTATTTATGATGTTATGATACGAAGTTATTGCTCAGCTGTCTCTCACTCTCTATTTCTTTCACTCAATCTGTCTATCTTTTCAAAACTTTTTCTAGACATTTCACTCTACTTTTACTTATTTTTTTTCTTTTTTTCTCTTTCTCTCTCTCTCTCTTCCTCTCTCTTTCTCTCTCTCTCTCTCTCTCTCTCTCTCTTTCTTACTCTCTCTCTCTCTCCTCTCTCTGTCGATTATTTTGAGGTTCATTCCTAATACATTCTATGCAAATGAATTTTCTTTTAATTTACGAGCAGGTTTTTAAAACTTTTTTTGGCGCGTTATTTTTTGGCGGGAAATATGATTTTAAATGTCTTTTTATTCTTCCTTTCTTCATTTATCCATTTTTTAATTAATTTTTTATTCATTTGTTTGTTTCTTCGATTTTAACATTGTTAAAATTGAACCAAAATATAATGGTGCTCATTCACAACGTGTGTAGTTAATAATTATAACAAAGATAATACATAATAATAACAATAATAATAGTTTTTTTTAATAATAATTAATATTAATTTACGATAATACATCACATTAGTATTGTTTTTACAAAATTACTCCATCAAATGTATCTTGAAAAGCTCACGAACGAATTTGTTTTCTCCATGTTTCTCCATATTTATTGATTTGGCCGGCATGTTATTGTTATTGTTATTTTTATTGTTACTATTGTTATTGTAATATTAATTATATTTATTATTATTATTATTATATAATTATTTCCGGAGCAATGATTGCACATATCGGTATTTCTGAATAGACTTATATAGATATTAGTTGATTTTTATACTCATGTATAAAAAAATATATATATATACATACGAGAAATTATTATTATTATTGTTGTTGTTGTTGTTATTGCTGTTATGATTAAAAATCTTTTCTTTAGGTCACCATATGATGCTGATATTATTAAAAATGCTTTTTGCAAAGTCCTGCTATTATTATTAATAATGATAATATTATTATTATTACTATTATTGTTATTGTTGTTATTATTGCTTTGAACATTATTTTAATTTATTTTTTATCATTTTTCATTCATTTATTTTTTTTGTTAGGGAATACTTAAGTTTTATGTAAGTTTTTCGTTTCTCTCTCTCTCTCTCTCTCTCTCTCTCTCTCTCTCTCTTTTTCTCTCTCTCTCTCTGTCTCATAAATACATACGTACAAATACTTCCACATGTTTGCACATATTTTGATTAAGATTTGATTTTTCAACATTATATTCGTTAGTATAGATATTATTAACGAACTTGTATATCATTGTTATCATTATTTACTATTTGTTTTATTTATCAACTTTATTATCATAATTTTTATGCAATTCGTATGTTTTTACTAATATGTTTTAACATTTTCTTATGTGTTTTGGTCGGTTTTTTTCATAATACGTCTGTCAGCTTGTTTTTAAAAATATAATTTATCTTAAGCAATTATTTTTACCGTTGTGTGTTGTAACATTTCTTCTGATAAACGTGAAAATGCTGCGCATCAAAAATTACTTTAATAGTTTTTTACTGAACGCTTAACATCGAGCTAATTTTAAAAAATAAATCTGCGGAACTTTAAATAAAAATCGGAACGTGAATTCCGAAATATTACGTATTTATTTACATTTTTTTTTTAATTTCTCAAGGTACAATCAATTAAAATAATTACAATTTAATACAGAATGGCGGGATATTTTATAGTTTTAATGATTAATTTGATAATTTTTCCATTCGAATTTGTGAAATCAGCTGCTGATTATCAAACAAGTCAAACAACCATTAATCCTTTAAGTTAGTTTTTTTTTCTTTGACTTTTTTACGCATTATATATATTTCATCAACTTTTAAATTGGACAAACTTCAGACTTGTGTGGGGTTTACACATCCTGCAATGAATGCCTTGGAAAAACCATCAGCAACATCACAAAGGTTATTTATATTTATTTTTATTTTCATTTTTTTTTTAATTTTCTAATCAGTTTTTGAGAATTAAAATTTGAAAACCAATTTTTACATTTTGTTAAATCTTCTTCCGAATGTTCAATGATAATTTTACATCAAACAATACTGTTTTTATTAAAAGATTAAAAGTTAATTTGGAAATCACGACAAAAAAAAATGTATAAAATTTATACTTATACTATAAATCAAAAACAATATTTTGCTTTATACATTTTCAACAAAATTTCAAATCCAGTGTTATTGGTGCACAGGGAATGAGAGCAGTGGAGTTTGCCTGTCGTATCCATCCAGCGATTCGTGTCCATTTGGTAAATCAAGATGGCAGGCCTGCTTCAGTAAGATTATTATCACTTTTATTCATAATTATTATAATTTATTATTATTATATAATTAGTAATAATTATAATCAGTTTCTTATGACATTATGATTTTGTGTCTGGCCATACTTGCTGTCCTCATCGTTCTCTTCCTCCTTATCACTCTCTACTGCTCCTGTAAGAAATGCTTCAGAAAGAGGGCCCAGAGGAGGTGATATGCATAAATTATGTTAATTTTAGTGTATGTGATATACATTAGCTTTCTTGCGTATATTATGCTAATTTTAGTTGATAGTTGTTTGATAATAATAGTAGTTAGTCGGTGTTGGTTTTGTTTGAAATAAGTTGAGTGCTTTTATATGGAAGAACGTTATTATTGCTTTCTTTATTATGGTTGTTATAATAATAATAATTATTATTATTATCATCATAATTTTAAATAATTTTTAAAGAGAGGATGTTGAAAACAGAAGGCATACCTTGGAAAACGAAGAGAGAAGAACGAGAAATGAACAGAGGTTTATTATTATTATTCTTGTTATTATATTAATTGTAGTTGTAGTACTAGTAGTAGTAGTTGTGTAGTAGTAGTAGTAGTAGTAGTAGTAGTAGTAGTAAGAGTAGTAGAAGCTGTGGTAGCAGCAGTTGTAGTATGAATTGTAGTGAAAATAGTAGCGAAGTTAATGCTTGTAGTAATAGTAGTAGTAATAGTAGCGTTAATTTTGAACAATTATTTATTTTACAGTGTCTCATTCATTCATTCATCCATTCATTCATTCATTCATTCACTCATCCATTTTTCCAACAGGGCCATTGAGAGAAGGGTGAAGTATGATGAGATACGCCAAAAATATGGTTAATATTTTCTACTTTTCATGTTATAATTAATTAAATTATAATTAATTAATATTATTATTACTATAATTAGTCATCTTTTCGATGGCACTGATGATAGTTTTCCAGTTAATTATATTTGTCTTGGCTTGTAGTTTTAGTTGTTCACCGGTCCATTAGTATTATTTCTATTATAAAAATGGTTTTGACATTGATAATTATTAATAATTATCACCATAATTATCAATATTATTATATCTATAATTTTCTTCTCTCTCTCTCTCTCTCTCTCTCTCTTTTTCTTTACCTCTATCTCTCTCTATCTCTCTATCTTCAGGCTTGTCAACCTCATCGGCTGGACATTATAGTAGATTCGAGAATGAGCCAGCTGGCGGGAATACTAGCACCGCTTAATAAAGAAGAAGAAGAAGAAATTATAATTATTATTACAAATTATTTAATTATTGTTATTATTGTTATAATTATTATTGTTGTTGTTATTATTTTTATAATTCTACCAACATGTCCGTCGCTATGCAGTTTCTACTCTACTTGCCTTCGTAAATTATTGCTAATAAATTAATAATTATTGTTATTTATATTATTACGATTATTCATTATTATTATTATTATTATTACTATTTTCTTGATGATGGAGTAAATTTGTTATTATTTTAAATGCTGATGATGCTTGAAGAATGGAATTTTTTTTAAAAAATAGTGTGTGTGTGGGTGGGTGGGTGTCTGTTTGTGTGTATGTGTTTGTGTGTGTGTCTGTCTATATCTATTTTATTTTACCAACCTTTTGTTATTTTTTCTATGTATTTACATTGAAAAAACATTTCTATGGTACAATTTTTCTGGTTAGCTGATTGAATGATTTGTTGAATGATAGGTTGTATGTTTGATTTGATTGGTTGATTGATTGATTGATTGATTGATTGATTGATCGATTGATCGATTGATCGATTGATTGATTGAAAAGCTGAGTAATATCAAATATCGCTGTATATATCTTAGACATTATTTTCAGATTTCTTTTTTTATTTGCACCGACATTCATTTTAATGTGAACAACTTTCTATTTGATACCGAACTTTATATTTTTATCCTTGTATGTATGTATGTGTATGTATGTATGTGTATGTATGTATGTGTATGTATGTGTATGTATGTACGTGTATGTATGTATATGTTTGCATGTAGGCGTGCGTGCGTGTGATTTTTACTGATAGTATAATAATACCACATGCTTTTTTTAACAAATAAATCGGCTTATTTAAAGCATCCAGTTTATAATTGATTTTGAAAAATTGAACGCTTCTCTTGGCAGTTACTTTCTCTTACACTTCTCTCTCTTTCTCTTTTTCTCTTTTCTTTCTTCCTATTCTTTCTTTTTTCTAAATGAATTTATCTCCCTTCCTCTCTGTCTCTCTCTCTCCTCTCTCTTTCTCTCATTTTTGCCTCTTGTAAATTTGGCATTGATTGCTCGTCTTATCAAAATTCATCAGCACCGCCGCACAGATGATGACGATGACGATGGCTTACTTACTTGATGTGCATTTCAATATTTGTTTTCATCTCTTAACGCAAAGCAAGTTTACCTAGGAGGCAAGAATTTTTAAAATAATTAAAAAAAAATGACTTCGGATCACGTCGAGAAAATAATTACGCAAAGTTAGTTATCATTCATTCATTTATTCGTTTGTTTGTTCAATCATTCACTGATTCATCCATTTGTTCATTTATTTGTTCATTAACTCGTTTATCAGCCACCCATTCATTCATTCGTTCATTCTTATATTCGTTCGTTAAACTGAAATACTGGGAAATTGAAATATTTGCCACCCAGATTACTGTAGGAGCTTCTCAACGTGCAGAGATTGTCTCGGTAAAACTGTCTCCGACCAGTATAGGGTAGTAACTAAATTTACAATTTTTCGACACAACAAAAATACACCAACAACACACCAATTCATACCAAAAACACGCCAACAACACATCAACAACACACCAATGGCGTAACATCACATCAAAAACACACAAAAACAACCCTAACCACAAACACACCATTCCCCACCACAAACACACCAAATCACATCACAAACACACCAAATCACACCACAAATACATAAAATCACACCACAAACACACTAAATCACACCACAACCAACAACGACGCAGTGCTTCTGGTGCAAAACAAACAACAGTGATGGAGGCTGGTGTCTGACGCACGGCGTTGAGGGCTGCCACTTTGGAAACTCAAGATGGTCGTATTGTTGGGGTAGGATTTATACGATTTTTTTAATCATATTACAAATTTATACCATTAAATTTATCAATTATGACCGTAAAATGAGGAAAATGTGTTAGTGTAGTGTGTAATTTTTAGCTATTTCAATGGGAAAGATGACAAAACTTGAAAAACAAACTCAGAACAGAAAAATATCTCGATGAAATTTCATCTTCATCAACTATACAAGCAAAACCCACACAAACAAAGCTAGCTTTAAATAACATTGTTCACCATTTCAGTCAGTTTTTTGTTATAACTTTTAAAAAAATATTAACCGTCCAGTAAACCAGGACGTTTTAACGCTGGTGATGTCCCTTCTGCTGACAACCATCTGCCTTAGTCTCATCATTTTCGTCTGCTGCATGTGTAGGACATGCTGCAAGAAAATTAAGAAGAATGAGTTTAGTTTAGATGATTTGCACGGTTCTTTATTACTTTTGATTAATTTGTCGATTAATTCACCAAAATGACTGGTTATTTTATCTATAAATAGTTTGGTTTCGATTTATGAATGTGTCAATTTTTCCAAACAGTGCAGCTAATGTGGAGAAGAGTGGAACGCAGCAGTCGGAAAATGCCAGGAAAATGTCAAAACTTAGTTTAAAATCCAAAGATGACACGTAAGCCGTTCAACCAAGCTTTTTCATTCCAAAAATGTATCTTCCAATTCAAATTAGTCAATCAACCAGTCAATTAATCGAACAATTCATTCATAAATGGCATTTTCATCATTCCATTCATAAAAAAATTTCCTCGAAAACAAAAAATTTTTCAGAAAAAAGTTAGAAAAGAAAGCAGATGAACTCGAAGAAACAAAGTAATACACACACACACACACACACACACACACACACTTAAATATATATATTTAAGTTTTCAAATGCAAGTATAATACCAAGAATGACAAGATAATTTGCAAGCGATCAATTGCGCCCGTAACGATTTTAACGTTGAACATATGCAAATAGGTATTTCTAACATTTTCATCTTTTTTTTAACATACATATAACACAACAGTACATACATAAATATGTTTCTATCTCTCTCTCTCTCTCTCTCTCTCTCTATATATATATATATATATATATATATATATATATATATACTACCCTTACATGTATGAATGTAATCATATCAACCCGTATTAAAGATAAATGAACTTAAATAATACTGATATTTTACACTTCTAGGTGAAGAAAACAAAAGGATGAACAAAAAATGTAGAAGGAAATCTCTCTCTCTCTCTCTCTCCCTCTCTCCTCCTTTAAAAATAACTCTCTCCACCTATTCACAAATTTATTAATACCAGCACATACATACATGCATACATACATACATAGGAACAAATGCCATTAGTAAACACATGCACAGCGACAACAATGTAAAAATTGATATATATGTGTAGGAAAACAATTGATATGAATGAAAATGACATTATTATTGTATCTCGTATATCATGTAGATACACATATCATCGAATTAATTACATTATCTATCTATATATATATATATATATATATATATATATATATATATATATATATATAATGATTGTGAATTCTTCTATTTGTTATAAAAAAAGTGACTTTATAATGGACAAATAAACTCTACTTAAACGAAATTTCAATTTTTAAGCAATCTTTTGTTGCAATCCCGTCTGCTATTTGGCAAATCGATGGATATTGTTACGTTATCACTCTAATTTATAAGATAATTTATTCTAATTTGAATTTATCAGATTGATTGGCGTTGGCACTCTAATTTATAAGCACATATCACTTAGTGATAACAGTGCTATAGCGTAATTGAAACGATAAAGTTTATTATCATCAAGTAAAATTCAAGAGGAAGTTTCTTCTGTCCTTCCTTATGCTTCTTCGTACGAACTTGCAAACTTTTCAGGGGAGGTGCTCAAATTCGAACTCCTTCACGAGGCCACAGTCAAAGCTAGGATTACTGTTGATGATGAAGATGGTGATGAAGATGGTGATGAAGATGATGATGAAGATGATGATGAAGATGACGATGGTAATGACGATGAAGATGATGATGATAATAAAGATGACGATGAAGATGATGATGAAGATGGAGATGACGAAACGTACAAAGTTGACGGTGATAAGAATGAAAAAGACGAAAACCATGATTCGAAACTCATGAGACATTTAGGAGATGAAACAGTTGACACTTGAAATATTATTGATGACAAATATGCGTTACGTGACCTGCATTGATGATCAGCAAAATGGGTGGAACGAAACACTCACTCCTACATCACATTTAACAAACAAACAAACAAACAAACAAACAGGCAAACAAACAAAGCGAACGAACAAACAAACCATCATCATCTTCCAGTTAGAAAACATCCGAATAGCTTCAACGGGCAGGGTACCATGAAGACAAAAAAAATAATTATATACATAAAGATATCATCTTCACTATCAAAAATTAATGTCACACACACACAAACACGCATATATATATATATATATAAATTTATAAAAAATGCGTATATATATATATATATATATATATACATACATAATAAATATTCATTAGCTGATATGTTAATTTAATCAGTGCTTAGTTAATTCAGCACTCATTAATTAAATTACGAATTAGGCAAACGCAATAATAATAATAATAAATAATAAATATTAATATTATTTTAAATTATTTATTTAGAAAGCTACAAACGAGTTTCTCGTTAAGAAAAGAAAAGTATTAAATAAAATTAAATGTTTCACATTATTGTATTTCTATTATGATCAACAACATCATCATCATCGTCGTTATCACTATCAATGAGTATAAGATCATCATCATAACCGTTATTGTTATTATCATTATCATCATCATCGTCATCGTACTCATCATCATCACCATCATCATCGTCGTCGTACTAGCGATCATCATCATCATCATCATCATTATCATCATTATTATCGTGATAGTAATGATCCTCATCGTTATCAATAAGTTATTATAAATACTAATAATTTCAAGAAAAATAATTAACACGAATCAATATTAACTTACAACAATATGACACTTTCTAATTTTATCCATTCGTTCGTTCGTTCATTCATTCATTCTATCATTCTATCATTCATTCATTCTATCATTCATTCATTTACCGATCCATCTATCTATCTAACCATTTATTCATTCATCTATTATTCATTCATCAGTATATCCATATATATCCATCCGTCCATCTTAATATTCTTTCTTACATTCTTTTCACAAGTTTTCATCCATTTTAATATTCACTCAATCAACCAATAAATCAATCAATCAATCAGTCAATCAATCAGTCAGTTAATCAATCAACCAATCAATCAATCAATCACTCAAATTCTCATTCAATCAGAGGAAAGGATTGTTTGGATTGCTTGCTCCGACTATACCATTACTCTGTGGAAAATAAAAATTATAAATACCTAAATTATATTATAATATATTATTATATTATATAATAATAATAATAAAGAAAATAATAATAATAATAATTGCATTCAGCCTATTTGAGTCACAACGAACAAGAGAAACATAAATGGATAAATTAATGCAGAACTTGAAACAACTTAATCTGCATGAAATAAACAGACAAACGAACGAACGAACAAACATAAAAACAAACAAACAAACAAGCAAACAAACTAATAAGCAAAATTACAAACATACGCGCATCATCCATACAACTCTCCAAGCAGCAACAACCCATAAATACAGACAAAAATCAACTCCACACAAGAAAAAAACCCACCCAACCTGACTTTTAACCCCGAAACCAGCGCCACCACCGCCAATACCCGTCCCCACACCAGCACCCCCTCCAGAAATACCGCCACCAGTACCACTTAACATACCTCCAGAAATACCAGTACCAGCACTCATAAAGGGGTTGTGTGTAGGGGGCGAAGACCAGGCGGTCATGTTGCTGTGTTGTTGAGGTAAAATTGTAGTTGACTGCCCCATGCCCCAGGCCGGGATTTGGGCCCCCCCGTTAGCGACTACTCCCATATAGGAGTTGGGTTGTGGGAATGGGATGTTGGTGGGTTGCTGCTGCTGCTGAGGAAGAGCAAGTGAGAATAATGATGGAGTTGCTTGTTGCTGGAGTGAATATAAACCTGGTTTGGATAGAATGTTTGTTGACATGTTTTACATCAATTTTTTATTCATTCATTTGTTCAATCATCAGTTCATTCATGTTTGTTGACATGTTTTACATCAATTTTTTATTCATTCATTTGTTTAATCATCAGTTCATTCATTTGTTCATTTGTTCATTCATTTACCTATTCCGAAACGAAATGATATGATATCTAAACGAAATCAACTACCTACTTTAATTCCATACTTTTAACGTTTAGCAAACTGATTTTAAAACTGACAACTATGAAGAAACACATGGTAACATTAACAGAAATAACACCAGCAAATTCTTAACAACACAAACGACAACATCAACAACAACAACAACAACAAAACCAAAACCAACAACATCAGCAACAACAACAACAACAAACCAGGGCTAGCCGTAGTATGATAATAGAGTGAAACGTTATTAGGTGCGACAGAACCGCCAACGAAAGCGCCAGTACCAAAAGGATTGGGTTGCATGTTTGCAGGCATTGGTTTGTTGAGATTAGAAAGATGTTGTTGTTGTTGTTGAAGTTGTTGTTGTTGAAGTTGTTGCTGCTGGCTAAATGGATTGGCTATAGCTGCCCCGCCACCTGTTTCGTTATTGTCCACATTTCATCATACTCTTATCTCAACTTGAATTAATAAATTTTTATAAAAATAATAACACCAGACACTTTAAGAACGAAACCAAACGAAATCAAAGAGCCCAGAAACGTACCCATTCCAAATCCTAAGCTATTATAAGATGGAGGGAGGATGGAAAAGTTTGATGCAGATGACGACAATGATGGGTTGATCATCGGCATCATCGACGATGATGCCGATGATAATACTATTGACGACGAAGGATGCTGATGATGATGATGAGTGGCATGGTGAGGATGATGATGATGATGACTCATCCATTCAGACTTTTGAGTTCCATTCCAGTCTATGGATGCAATCCCAGACGCCAAGGAGTCCCCGTCCAAACCAGCCAGTGCAGAATATTTATCAGATGTAGATGGAAAGAAAGATGCAGTTGCCGTAGCCACTGCAGATGTTGTAGTTGATAATGTTGGCTGTTGTTGTTGTTGTTGTTGCTGTTGTTGCTTGTTACTGGGTTGCAGTATGTTTGATGATAAGTTGAACATGTGCTGTTGCTGCTGAGACCATTGGCTAGTTTGGTTGAAAGAGGCTGCATAATGTCAAGAATTTAATAATTCAATCAATCAATCATTCTTTGTTCAGCATCCAAAGACCCAGTTCCCCTGAGGTAGGACGTGAGAATTTAACAATTAACTAAAAAAATTTATCTCCTGGGAATAAAATTTAAAAAGAAAATTAAGAAAAAAAACCAAATATTACATAAAATGAAAAATGTGAGAACTAACTTACATTGGTTTAATTTCGGTGCAGACTCAAATGCAGCAAAATCAGCAAAACCTGATTACCAGAAATAATAAATAATTACATAACTAACAAAAATGAATAATTAATTAATTAATTAAACCTTCACTATTTGGAAAATTGAACTGCTGTTGTTGAGAAGTCGTGGCTCCAATAACAGCCTGACCGAATGGATCTGAAATGAAATCTCCAAAAATATCGGTGGGCTGTTTCATCTGCTGTTGCTGTTTTTGCTGTTGTTGTTTTTGTTGCTGTTGTTGTTGCTGTGATGTTGCTAGTGTTTTGTTGGCTACTGGTGATGTTGTAGGTAGTGATGGGTTGACTGGCTCAGAGCTAGGCCTGTTGGTTGCAGTGCTATGCTGCTGCTGGTTCTGACTCGATATCACCTTTTCAAGTTAGAGAAAATTATTTATTTTCAATTTATTTATTAAAGTTATTTGTAAAATATCTTTTATTTACATAATCTTTTCGTTTCAATAACTGAAAAATTAAAAAAATAATATAGAAAAAAATTCTTCAAAAACAAACAAACAGACAGGATTATAGTTAGAAACATGAGGTAAGCCAGCCACTAAAGATGAAAGTGGTTTTGCATTGTGTGATGTCTGCTGTTGTCTCCCCACCGTATTCATCCTTCGACACTCTTCGAACAGGGAATCAGTAGGATGAACATACCATCTCTTCTTCTCATACCTCTGGCACATCAGATCTTTCATTCTTCCTTCGTCTTTTGTGTCGACATCCATGGGAATTCGACCATCATATAAGCCTAACCAAACTTTTCTGCAAAACTTTAGTTTAGTGGAGTAGGTTTTTTTCAAGAAAACTTAAAAGCCAGCGATGAAAAAAATGATATTGACATATTATTTTTAAGTGTTATTTTATAATATTGTTCGATAATAAGAGCCATTTGAATTGAAAAAGTTTAAATTAGTAAATATGATTATAAGCAAAATTTTAAAAAACATTATTCCATATTACCTCATTTCCTCTTGATTTGATAAACTCCATCTCATCATTTGAGAAACTAGCCATAGATATGGATTTAACACGGTGGGGAGGGTTCAAGCCACGTCTGAATATAATGCAAAATGATTATTAGTTATTTTAAATAATTCCAGATAATGATTTTGAACTTTAATTTATATTTTTCATACCAAACTCCAACAGTGCATAAAAAGCTACCTCTCTAACTACAAATATTAACTTCTTTTTTGAGCACAATGATTTAAGATTAAATTTATTTTAAATTTAAATGGCCTAAAAACGAAGCGCTAATCAACAAATCAAAGTAATTTTTCAAGTTTAAATTTAATTAAAAATTAAACAAATTTAATTTAATTAATTAAATTAGAAAAAAAACTGACAGCAGTCCACTACAGGCTGTACACACAAACGAGCCAATCATCATGTTAACATACGTTGGACCCCTCTGATTACAATCGAAACAATGTTTGTTGTGGAGTAGCGCCACGATTTCTCTCAATGTCTTCAAATTATTCTCCTCCTCCTGCTTTTTGCGGACATTAGAAGCCATCTTTAATGTTTTTTCTGCTAGTTAAGACTGGATGAATGTTCAAAAAACTCCTAGAGAATGTTTATTTTTATGGGAGGCGTTATATTTTTTTTATGTATTCAGTTTTTATAGCAGGCTCTCTCCTTGTATAAATGCGTTTCGAAAAAACATAGTTTCAAAGTATATTATAATATCTATCAAATTTATGTGTGCGTATGCATGTATATAAGAAAACCTTGAAAGAGAAAGCTGAGATACACACTATATAAAGTATTGTGTACTCTAATTATATGGATAGAAATGAATAAATAAAGGGATCAAAGAGGATCATTGGTGTATTCTTCATATATATATATATATATATATATTTGTGTGTATATATATATAATGCATGTGCAAGTAGAACCTCAATAATCACATCAATCGACAAGTTATTTTCAATTTCATATAAACCTCACAAAGACTTGGTCTTGCTGTCACTATCAGACATCGCTCCAACTTTTTATTTTATCCTATTTTTCTTTAAAAAAAATTAAATTCGCGACAGATCATTCGTGAGAACGAGCCACCAAATGGAAAAAAGACAAACTCTAATTTTTTTTAAATGAACCAACTAAACGTAACATTAATAAGTACTTCGGACAAGTCACAATTTTTATTAACGATCGATTAATCAAATCAATGTTTCTATAAAATAAAATCTATTATACATAAGCTTGCTGCCGATGAAGAAAGGCTTATCAAACAGGTATTAAAACAATCAGGTTTCTGAATAAAGCTAATCAAAATTTTTAATTTCTGAAACTTCACTTCGTACAATTTCCCAATTTAAATGTTTTAATGTTAACATTATAACGAGAATCTATAGAAAGCGACACATTTACTAGGTTGATTTAAAAAAACAGGATACAAAATTAAAAAGATTTTTCTAAAATGAAAAAATCTGAAAAGTGCAACTGTCATATACACACATATGCATTATTATAAACATGTATGTTTTAAACTCTGCCAATACCCAGAAATAACATTACTAATTAAATTCAAGTTGAAAACTATTTATATAACTTCAATGTCAAAATGTTAACAGGCTTATTATTTTTTAGCAGCTTTCTTTGGTTTGGCAGCAGGTTTCGCTGCCTTCTTTGCTTTGGCTGGGCTGGCAGCTGCTTTAGCTTTTGGTTTAGCTGGAGATTTTTTGACTTCCTTCTTTGCTGGCTTGGCAGCAGGAGGCTTGCTGGCAGCTTTTGGTTTTGCAGCCGGTTTAGTTTTTTTAACTGGAGAGGCTTTGGGCTTTTTCTTAGTTTCAGCAGCTTTGACTTTCTTAGGAGACTTCCTGGGAGCAGCCTCAACTTTTTTAGCCGGAGATTTGACAGCTTTTGTCGTTGCTGCCCTCTTTGCTAAAACTTTTTTAGGTTTAGTTTCTTTCTCTTCTTTATCTCCATTACCAATTTTGAAACTACCAGATGCTCCAACACCTTTCGATTGTTTCAAGGAACCATTTTTAACTCCGGCCTTGAGTGCCATCTTCAGGTGCGAGTTTATGACTTTCTCGTCATTTCCAAGAGTATAGTTCTGGGCAATGTACTTCAAGATGGCTTGCCTGGATGAACCTCCTCGCTCCTGAAATTAAAAAATTTTTTGTTAAAAACACGATTAAGTCAGAGTTTGACACAATTTTAAATAGAAACTACTAGAAATCATCAATTTTAAAACCAGATATACACTAAAAAAATTAGACTCAGTTTTAAAACAAATATTTAATAAAAATTTTGAAAAAACAAACACTTTAAAAGTCTACAATACAATCCACACAAAAATCAAATGCAACTACAAAATTTTATTTTAAATTATAATTTAACTTGACCAAAAAAACCAAAACCCAAAATTTTTAAAATAAACAAATCAAGCCTAATTTATTTTAAATTAGTAGAAATTTGAAAAAATAAAATGTTCAAGAAACAAAGCCTCAAAATTAGAGAATTATTCGATAAATAAACAAAATCTTAATCAAAATCAAGCAAAAGTTTGTGAAAAGAAAATCAACCTTGAGGGCATTGAGGGCATCCTTAATCATCTCGGCATATTTCGGATGGTCGGCCACCTTTTTTGCCTTTGGGGCGGCTTTCTTCTTCGGAGCTTTCTTCTTCTCCTCTACCGGAGCAGTAGCCGGGGCTTGTTCGACTTGTTCATCAGACATTTTTACTAAATTTGAATTCGAATAATTCGAGAAAATAAATCAAATATTTGAAAAGAATTCAAAAAAATCGTCGACAGAGAAACAAACGACAGCAGTTCAAACGTGGCGGTTTTTCAAGCGAATAACGCGGTTCGACATTTGAAAGCTTTATATAGGCTGGAAGCCGACCTGGTTGAGAGCTTCTGCGATGAAGGCGAGCTAAAATGTTGTTCTCGCAATTTTCACGATTTGAGTGTGCTTATGATAGTTAATAAAATGTCAAATTTTTAATTTAAAAAATAATTTTATTGAAATATTTTATATTCATTATATAGATTAAAGAGTCCTCTTTCAGAAAATATAAGTTTCAGTGCGTAAAATTTTACTTTTGATAATGAAAATCGCGATTTTGTGACAAACATAGTGAAAATGCCTGTATTAGTGATCTTTTTTTAAGTTTTCATTATTAAAGATTTAGATTTTCAAAATTGTATACATATTTTTAAATAATTGAATGATTCTTAATTATAATTTTGAAAAAATATTTCAAATTGATCAAATATTAAAAAAGTTATTGGCAAAAGAATTGACTGATGTAAGCACAACTTTTTCGCGCTATTTTAGCAGGCTTTTTACTATGGTAATAATTCAACCAATAATTACTTAATAAATACTTATTTTTAATTAATGAAATTTTCCAAAATTATTTAATGATAATTAATCTAATAACCTTCCAAATTTGAATTAATTTAATTGAGAAACTTTTGAGATATTTGATGACAAAAAATGCATTTGTTAACCAATGAAGACGAGCCAGTTAGGAGGGCAAAAATTTAAATTTTCAGTTATTATATTCGCTTTTAATTTAAAATTTAGACTAAAAAATATAACAAATTGTATATTTATAATGAGAATTGAATAAAATAAAAATAAATTTATTAATTTTTGCTCAAAAAATCATTTTTAAAAGCGATTTTGAAGTTGAATATAATCTAGATAGGAGTTAATACATTTGCAGTGGGTTATCATTCGATTTTTTAAACCAAATTTGAATTAAATAACTACTCAAATATCAACTAAATAATATCATAATAACTATTTTAAACCATTTCAATAGATATTTATTGAATTATTCATATTATTTTACATTTTTATGAAAATTTTGATGATTTTTCAAGTCATTTTTGCGAGCTATCATAAGGTTGTACTGCGCGTTAGTTTTCACACAGAAAGAAAAAATATCAGTTATGATTATGGATTTTATTGATTTTTATTAATATTTAAGATGTTTTTAAGTTTATATTTAAATAAAAAATATTATAAGTATATTTTTCCTATTTTTTTAAGTAATTTGGTTCAATTTGTGGTCTTAAAAATGGGAGAGTAATGGTTTTTTCAACACTACAACGTTTGGATATAGAGTTTTGCGAGCTGGCTCGCATTTGATTGTCATAATAAGTTAACAAAGATTTAAATTAAAAGTTAATAAATATTATTTTATTAAAAAAAATAGATAAAGATTAAATAAAATTATACCAAAATTATTTCTAGATGTTTAGTTAATACCTTTTTTTGAAGGATTTAAGCTTAAAAGGCTGGTATTAATGTAGTTACTGCTACTAGCATTAGTATAGTTATTGAATTATTTATTTGTTTATTATTATTATTATTATATCATCCTCATCATCACCATCATCATCATTACCATAAAACCATCATCATCATTCCCATCATCATCATAATAAAGAGCATCATCATCATCTCGCAATCACCATTATCACAATTAAAATCCCCACCATATAATCACCATCATTATAAACGTAATATCGTCATCAACATCGTCATCATCAGCTTTTTCTTCGTCATCATCACCTTCTTCGTCGTCATCATCACCTTCTTCGTCGTCATCACCTTCTTCGTCGTCATCATCTTCTTCTTTTTCTTCGACATCATCTTCTTCGTCGTCGTCATCACCTTCTTCGTCGTCATCATCATCTTCTTCGTCGTCGTCATCATCATCTTCTTTGTCGTCGTCATCATCATCTTCTTCTTCTTTTTCTTCGACATCATCTTCTTCGTCGTCGTCATCATCATCTTCCTCTTCTTTTTCTTCGACATCATCATCATCATTTTTTTCGCCATCATCACCTTCTTCTTCATCTTCCTCCTTGTCATCGTCACCACCATCTCTTTGTCATCATTTCAATATTCCATAAAATTTTCATCACAAAAATCGTCGTCAGATTATCATTGTCATTTCTGTGAACATTATGATTATTACTCTCTCTCTATCTCTCTATCAACACTAATGTCATCATCATTATAATTATTATCATTCCCTATCATCATCTTCATCGTCGCCGTCACAGTTTTTCTCGTCGCCGTAGCCGTTGGCGTAGCCGCCGTTGCCGTTTCTGTGGCCGTTGCCGATACCGTTGTCGCGTCATCATCATCATCAAAACCACCACCACCATCATCATCATCAAGACCATCACCATCATCATCATCATCTTTTTTTACCGCCAACATCGTTTGCTATCATCGGCATCACCTCCAAGATCATCATAATATAGATATAATAATCATCACGAGAGCATTTATATAGCGCCTTTCATAAACAAGATGATGATGAAGAAGAAGAAGGTGATGATGACGAAAAACGAAGAAGAAGATGATGAGGATGAAGATGATGAGGATGATGATGACGAAAAAGAAGAAGAAACGAATAACGTCTTCGAAACTGTTTAATGATAACGACAAAAAAGGCACATCTTGAAAAAAACGAACATCGGATATGTTGGCAGGCAGTTGATGGCTTCTTCCAGGAGTTCTTCAACCTCTTTTCGGGTCATGAACTATTCTTTAGGGCATGAATTTCTCCTCGGGTCACGACCTAACCCACACCGGGTCTCATGCATCTATTTCATCTACATTCTCAATGTTGGCATCAACTCACAATCAAATTGACGTAGAAGAAGGAGGTGCTCTAGGGTAGGGAGGAATACATTTCTCCTCTTCTTTCTTAAATTCTTAAAAAACAGGGAACAGGGTAACACGCCACACACACACACACACACACACACACACACACACACACACACACACACACACACAAAACATGATTAGTGACAAGTTGAATACACCTTCTTTCTACTGTGGCAATATGGGGTATACCAGACTGGAAAACTTACGTGGTTCAAAAACAACGAATCATATCCGTGAAGTCCTTTTTTCACCTGTTGAATATCGCCACACTTCAACTCCTACAAAGTGTTATCATAGCTATTTAGATTTATTTAGTACTTATATTTTTTTCATTGCTATAAAGAAAGGAATGGTAAGTAAGTTTACTGTACATAAAGATAAAGATGCCTTCGAGTTATTTATTTTGGACGCTTTTTTGGACTCTATTTTAATCTGTAAAATAATTCCAAAACTTGAAATACTTCTACGAATCAACAAATTTCAAATGATGTTTTCCCGCCACTGGCAATACAACTAGCTACAAATCGCACATCCCTACAATCCGAAAATCCTTTGTCTGGGTCCCACCTTAAAATGTACATGCCATAAAATCCGTGCGGTGTACATGCTGGGTTTTGCCGTCTCGTCTTATTAACCATCAACATTTAATCTTAATATTTGTTGAATTTGTCACGATAAGAAACAAGTGTTGTTGGTTGAGATGGTTCGACTGCACGGTGAGGATTTTATTGATTGTGAATAATTTTTTTTTGTGTTTGTGTGTGTGTGTGTGTGTTTGTGGTGTGTGTGTGTGTGTGTGTGGGTAGGTGTGGTATTTGTGACGTTTTGACCTATATACAACACGTGATTTGTGTGTGTATGTGTGTGTGTTTTTACGCATGGAGTGTAATTCACATATTAGGAACTACATACTTTTAAAATTATGTATGCAAAATTATCAGAGAATGAAACATACGTATGTATGCATGTGTGTGTGTATGTGTGTATGTATGTATGTATGTATGTATGTATGCATGTATGTATGTATGTATGTATGTATGCATGTATGTATGTATGTATGTATGTATGTATGTATGTATGTATGTATGTATGTATGTATGTATGTATGTATGTATGTATGTATGTATGTATGTATGTATGTATGTATGAATGAACAAATGAGTGAACAAATGAATGAACAAACATATGAAAAAATAAACAAACGAACGAGAGAACGAACGAACAAACACATCAATTTAGACAACGAAAACAAAGAAACGAGCAACAGAGGAACCATAAAAATAAAAAAATAATACAAACATTTATTTAGATAACATTTACGACAACATTAAAAACATTAAATTGAAGGGAGACTACACATCAATGTTGACATCAACTTCATACAAAGCATTCACTAGGTGTCATTTTTTTAGTAAGAAACCAGTAAATTGTTATGACGGTTAGATTATAAATTCACTTTCTCTTTCTTTTTATTTTTTGAAAAAGAAAGAAGGACAAACACACACAGACACACTCACACACACAGAGAGAGAGAGAAAGATAAAGAGAGAGAAACAGAAAGAGAGAGAAACAGAGAAACAGATATGAAAGAGTTATTGTATCTAATGTATTGTATTACATACCGTTGGAGGGATAGTTTACAAAATGAAGTACTACAACATCCAAAATTAAATAACACCAATGTAGGAGGGGTGAAGCATTTTCAATGTCACACACACGCACACACACGCACGCACACAAACAAACAAACGAACGAACGAACACACGTCCATCCAGAGTTATAAGCAAATTGAACTAGCGAGGAGGACTATATCGATTGTCTGATTTTTTTTTAATATTATTTTCCCCTTTTAATTATTCTTATTAATATTGTGTTTGTTCATTGTTTGTTTGTTTTTTGTTAGTTCGTTCGTTGTTTGTTTGTTCGTTCGTTCGTTGTTTGTTTTCGATGTTATTTAATTATAAAATAAAAACAAATTTAAAATGCGTTATATATCTACTTTGTTATCACTAATAAATCAATTCAAACTGAAAAAAGGCGGGAAAATATGTTAATCTAAAAATAGAACAGCAGTAATAAATTAAAACAAAATTATCATAAAATAGAGATAAATCCGTGAAATAAATAATTTTGCCTGGCCAAAACTGATGAAAAAGACATTTTCCTGATGCAAATTTATAGATGGAGTTGTGTGTGTGTGCGTGTGTATGTGTATGTGCGTGTCGATATGTGTGTGTGGGAGCATTTATGTATGTGTGTGTTTGTGTGTAAGTACGTGTGTGTATGTATATAAATTGAAATAAAGTTTTTAACTTCATGTCATCGTTAAAAAATTCAAAATAGATATTTTCTTAATGGAAAAATCACAGCCGAAAGTTAAATAACAAAAATGAACGAATGAATGAGTGAAGGAATGAAAAGATGAATGGATGGATAATTGAATGAATGATAGGTACATTGATGAATGAATGAATAGTTATATGGATGGATGGATGGATAGAAACATGAACGAATGAATAAATGAATTCATTCAAATGTTTAAAATACGAAATGTGTGTATATATATATATATATATATATATATATATATATATATATATATATATGTATATATATATATATATATATATATATATATACATATATATGCTATCAGTTAAAAATGGTCAAATCAATATAACTCATTAATTTTCTAATGTAATCACCGATAAAAAAACCAATGAATCAATTAATGTTTGTTAATTAATTATATCCTATCTAAGCAAATACCTGTTAATTAATTGCTTATGTCTGCTATGTTTGACCCACTTCTCATTCGTTCGTTCGCTCATTCATTTATTCGTTCGTTTGTTCATTCATTCACTCACTCACTCACTCACTCACTCACTCACTCACTCACTCACTCACTCACTCACTCACTCACTCACTCACTCACTCACTCACTCACTCACTCACTCACTCACTCATTCACTCATTCATTCATTCACTCACTCATTCATTCATTCACTCACTCACTCATTCATTCATCCATTCACTCATCCATTCATTCCTTCAAGGAACTCGAATGGCTGCTAGGAATTGAAGAATATTTGGACCGAAGATGATTGCAGTCGAAGCAGCTGTCATGCACGCAAAAACAACGGGGAAGACAACAGCTGTTAACTTAGCAGCTGTTCGAATAAATTTTAATAAATTATGATAATTTATAGTGAAACATGATAAATTATGATGATTTATGGTGAAATATGATAATTTATGGTGAAGTGATAAATTATGAATGAATGAGTGAACGAACGAATGAACGAACGCATGAATGAATGAATGAACGAATTAATGAATTAATAAATTAATGAATAAATTGAAGAAATAAATGAATGAATGAACGAATGAATTAATGAATTAATACCAACAACATACCTTCAACGTTTTGCGTCGTATTTGTAGAAGTTGTGGTAGTCTCAGTTATGTTTGCAGCTGTAAATGAATGAATGAATGAACAAATGAATGAACGAATGAATGAACAAATGAATGAACGAATGAATAAACGAATGAATGAACGAATAAATGAACGAATGAATGAACGAATGATACACAACTACAATAATATAACGGATGACTTAGTAAGTAATTGATGAACTAATGATGTAATCTTTATCCGATATAATAATATTAATAATAATAATAATAATAATAATAATAATAATAATAATAATAATAATTTTGTTATTATTAATAATAACTATTACTTTTATCATTATTATTACATAAAATTAGTTTGTTTACATGTTGGTTTAGTTGCATTGGGATTATTAGCAGATGTGGTCGTTGAAACATTCCATAATGACGATGACGATGATAACGATGATGTCGCTGCCTTTGAAGCTGCTGCTGCTGTTGTTGATGCTGTTTTCGCTGCTGCTGCTGATGATGATACTAAGGAGGCCAATGATAATGGCGATATCGTTGATTGTGATGACAACGATTTTGTTGATTGTGATGACGACGATGAGGCCGTGTTGGTTGTCGCAGCTGTAGTAGCGTCAATGACGACAGCTGTTTTGAATGGTGGAGATGTTATTTTGGAAAAATATTAAAAGAAATGTTTTGTATTTTTCATAAAATTATAGTTTTGACATCATCGTCATCTTCATCATCATCTTCATCATCTTTTTCATTTTCTCCAACAACAACAACACTAACAACAACATCATCACAGGCATCATCAACTACTACTACTACATGTGATAGCAAATGGAATATTTGGAAAATTTAATATCAAGATGAAGAACTGAACTAAACTCCACCAACAGTCCAACCAGACCACAAACAGTTCCACCATCTTCACATCTACCCTCCAACAATACCCCCAACCCCTTCAACAACATACGCAAAAAGCTGCATCCCGTCCCACTGAATCCGGGTTTGCACGTGCAAGCAAATCCGTTCACTTTATCCACACAAGTCTGAGTATCCGGATTGCAGTTGTTCGTCAGGCAGTCGTTTATATCTTTGTGAAAGAAAAATGGAATGTTTAATAGATGCAATTGATTAATTGGTCGATCGATGGTTGGTTGATTGATTGGTTAATTAATTAATTAATTGTTTGTTTGATTGATTAATTGATTAATTAATTGTTTGATTAATTGATTAATTAATTGTTTGATTGATTGATTAATTAATTGTTTGTTTGATTGATTGTTTATCATATAAAAATGGAACTTTTACTAGATGAAATTGATTGATTGATTGATTGATTAGTTAATTGTTTGTTTCTGTAGTTCATTAATTAATTACTTTATGTATTTGACTAATTAATTAATTAATTAATTAATTAATTAATTAATTAATTAAATTTTATTTTACCAGTTTCGCAAAAAGATCCAGTATAGCCGTCGGGACATTTGCATGCAAAGGTTCCTGGTGCATTTGAATCAGTGCCATTGACACAAAAACCATTGTTCTGGCAGGTACTCCTCCTCTGTTGTGCACCGAATTCAGTTAACTCGAACAGGCAGGCGTCGATAACTGGATTTTTGGGATCACGGGTTATGGGATTATGGATTTTTGGGATTATGGATTTTTGGGATTATGGATTTTTGAGATAATGGATTTTTGGGATTATGGATTTTTGGGATTATGGATTTTTAGGATTATGGATTTTTGGGATTAGCGATTTGGAGATTATGGATTGGGAACTTCGCTGTTGTTGTGAGATGAGGTGTGTGTAACGTTGTGTGGCTGGCTGGTAGTGTGTTTAACGTTCGAATATAATGTTTTTTTATGAGTGGTTATAGTTTACAAATAAAAAAAACTATTACAAATATTATAAAATTTAACGTTTAAAATATAAAAATTCTGAAAAGCTACACAATTTTTTATTAAAACTACCAAAAAAAAACGTCTTGGACTTACTAGAGCAAGTAACACTGGTACCTATGACTCTGGTCTCATACCATTTGGGACACTGGCAATAGTAAGACCCATTGGTGTTCGTACAGTTGCCAGCACCACAAATTTTTAAGCCCTGACATTCGTCAATATCTTGGTCACAGTTTGATCCCCTGAAACCCGTGTTTAGACACGAAAGACAGCCAACAACGTTGGAGCAGTTAGTAGCTGGACAGAGGCAGGTTCGAAGGCAGTCTCTCCCGTACGTTCCTGGCGGGCATGCTGGGTGTGTGTGTGTGTTTGTTAGTGTGTGTTTATGTGTTTATTTGTGTGTGTTTTTGTGTTTATTTGTGTGTGTTTGTGACTCTAAATATAATTTCAAATTTATTTAAGTGTGTGTGTGTGTGTGTGTGAGTGAGTGAGTGAGTGAGAAAGATTGCGTGTGTTTGTGTGTTTATGTGTGTGTGTGTGTGAGTGAGAAAGATTGCGCGTGTTTGTGTGTGTTGATTCTGTGGTGTCTGTTTTCTGTAAATACATACTTAACTGCGTTTATAGCACTTTTAACATATTCTCACGCACGCACACACACACACGGACAGAAAAAGACACAGACACACACACAAAAACACACACACAAAGACACACACACACACACACACAGACAGTTAACCAACCAGTGCAAGAGCCAGAGTTTGATTTGACGTAGCCATCTTTGCATTTGCATTCGAAACCTCCATCAAGGTTGGTACAGTTTGATGATGTCGTCTCGCATGGCGGAGTTGGCAGCGAACATTCATTTATATCTGTAGTAGTAGTGATAATAATGAAGATAATTATGGTAATAATTATTAATATAATAATTATTAATAATTATTAATATAATTATTAATAATTATTATTACTCGAAATTGTAGTGTAATAATTTTTTATTGTGAAACCGATGACAATGATGGCACTAAAAATCATATTATTGATTTTCCTCAAAAAAATTAACATAAATTAACATACCGACGCATGTGTTGTTGAAGACCTGGTAGCCAATGTTGCAGGCGCACGTGACGTTGTCGTAGCAGTAGTGGCAGCCGGCTGACGGCACGCAAGATCCTAATAATGATGAATGGATGGATGGATGGATAGATGGATGGGTGAACAGAGGGATGGATTGAATGAATGAAATGAACGAACAAGCAAACGAATAAAAAATAAAAATAAAATTAACAAACAAACAAACAAACGAAAAACCTGTCTTGTCACACTCATTTGTGTTCACGCCGTTCACAGCGTAACCAGAATAACACGAACAAGTGAACGAACCGTTGGTGTTAACACATATTTGCTGGCAGTTGCTTTTCTTTAGTTGACATTCATCAACATCTGTTATTATTATTTTTATTTGTATTATTATTATTTATAGAGTTATTGTTTATTGTTTGTTTATTGTTTATCAACGAATGAACGAAATATTAACTGTGTCTGTGTGTGTGTGAGAGAGAGAAAAAAAGAGAGAGATAGATCTCGTTGCAGTCGAAGCTCCTCACTGCAACACCCGTGCCAGGCACTTTAACCATTACACCAAATTATTTTTATTATTATTTTTCTAACTTACCGACGCATTTGGAATAATTGACAGACGAAACGCCGCCACTATCGACGTAGCCGTTGTTGCAGTCGCATCTGTAGCTGCCTTGCAGGTTGATGCAGACCTCCATCGGACTGCTGCAGTTGTTCGTCACGCTGCTCTGGCATTCGTCGATGTCTGTGTTGTTCGGTAGGTTGGTTGGTTGGTGCCAATCACGTTGGTGCATGAATGAATGAGTGAACATTTTTGAAAAAAAATGAATAAAGGAATGAGTGAATGAACAAATGAACGGACAAAATGAAGATTGGAATGAACGAGCGAACAAACAAAAATGACCAACCAACACATCTTTTCATGTTATCTTCCCGGTAGCCAGCCGAACAATTACTACATGTGTAACCAACAAAAGGCAAGGTCGAGTCTGCAGTCGAACCATTGGTCAGCTGCACAAGTTGAAGTAGTTGTGTTTTACTCAGTACCGTGCAGGTGCGATTGTCGCCACATGGACGCGATGAGCAGTAGTCTGGCGTGTTCTGACATTTGGTGCCTGGGTTGGTTCGTTTTGTTTTACTCTTTTGATTTCGTTTTTAATAATTCTTCTTCATATACTCGACAAAGGTCTGAACAAACAAACACTGCAAGGCCACTTCAACAACCATTCCGACCGTAACCCATTCGTAACTAATCAGAAAGATATATCGAAGCGAAACAAAAACGTGTATCAAGATGACGAAATAACTGACCAGTAGCCAGTAAATCTTTACATTTGCAGGCCACCTCGCGATAAATATTCTGTTTGACGAGTTCATCGCTACTGATGCTCGAATTCTCGATGATGTTGTCCCAGAGACACGTTCCTAGACCGCTGCAGTCGCAAGCAAGCGCATTCACCGTTTCCGGTTTGGCCAGGGATTTGCTTGAATTTCCGGAAAACCTTAAACAGGAGAAAAAAAAGATAAATCCATGTGAGACAAATAAGAGAGCATCCAATAATTCTAATTCACATTACTGTTGTTAGTATTATTATTTCAATGTTCCGATCTTAAATAAAAGACATTCTCACCGGGTTATTACTTTTTTAAAAGCAAAATATCAAACGAACAACACAACAAACTATTTAGCCAAATGTTCCAACTCCAAACAAACAGCAACGAACCAAAAACAATTTAGAGAATGAATAATAAAATCTCCAAAACTAACGTTAAATTGAAGGGCCTCAAATGTATAGAATCTGGAGTCCATTTAAACGTCCAGTAAAGGCAGGGTTGTGGATTGGTGGGATCGTCACAGGTTATCGTGGCACCTGGGAATGTCGTCTGGTTCAAAGGATCCATGGTCAGTGAGCTACCAGACGCTAGGCCTGTGACGTTGATGTGTATGGTGGTCATCTCGCCTGCAGTGAACTGGACAGGATCAGTTGGAATTACCAGCTGTATTACTTGGTTGCCTGGTTGAGATTTAATTCTTTCGTTGTTTTTTATTAGTTGAAAAATGTTTTATTTACAAATTAAATTTTATTCGAATCTATTATGAACATTCGCATTGCGTATCAATAAATAACACCCAAAACATACATGCGAACCATACGCGCGCGCGCACGCACACACACACACACACGCACAAAAACACACAAACACATCTTTCATTATCTTTTCCATTTTCATGTTCACACTAACTGGCCGTAGCTGCATCTAAATTGGCTTTCTCTGCAACAGTTTCAAGAGTTCCGTCGGCAAAGGACTTGCTCCCAGTGACGCAGTAATCAAAGACGCAGGATTTATCTTTAACACCTGGTTGTGGTAATTTCAAAACGTCATTCAATTTAGCCCGACGTTCAAGGAGATGTCTTCAATTTTTCAATCGCTATTCAACTTGAGAATTCACAATTGAATGGCGTAGCAAAGCAGAGCAGACTGCACAAACAAACAAACAAACAAACAAACGAACGAACGAACAAACAAACAAACAACGAACCATTGACAGTGCAAGCAGACTCAGCAGCGGCCCTGTCCACGAGGCACGCAACACCAGCTTCGTCCGAGAAGAGAGGAACGAATCCCGTCTGCTGGTAGGTACTGAAGGATTCGTTCTTTGTACTATTGTACCAGAACCACGAATCAGACTTCGTCTGCACAACCCCTGTTATAAAACATAATTTTTTCTATTTATATGGCATTTTTTGCATAACTTTTCACTTCTAATTAATATTTTCCATGTTTTGAATGAACGCATCAAAGGAGTGTACGTTAGAGTGGGAACCAGGTGAGTTCAACTCAGGACTAGACCTCTTTCACTGAAACAAAATAAGAAATTATTCGAGTAGGAACAAAAAAAACTCACAACTCTGGCCGAAATCAAACAACTCTCTCTCGGTTGATGTTCTGCTAATCAGCGTGCCATTCGAAAGTTTGAAATCGTTGTCGGCGTTCCCATCAAACTGGCCATACAAACCGTTAAACCCGTTCGCTGACAACAATCCCGGCACTGTCAAACTGGCCACCAGAGCTCTTTCCACCACCGAGATGATTACTTGTATGCCTTTTTGGGAGTTTAAGAATTTAAAATGGTTGGTGGAATGATGAATGGAAAGAAAAAAAGGGTGTCGGAGACTGAGTGAATCACATTGATAAGTTTTAATTTGACGATAGGATGTGATGGGATGGTTAAGTTGAATCGTGAGTAAAAATAGATTAAAAATAAATTGAAAATAAACTAAATTAAAACAAATTAAAATACGAAATTAAATTTTATAAAGTTTCAAAACTCCGACAACCTATCGGGAAGCGTATAAAAAGATCTGTAACGTTTTTAATGAGGGTGACCCCTTTAATTAAACTTTTTGGTATTTCATCGTGGTCGCCTGCCTTCTGAAACCATGCGGTCAAACTGCTGGCGTCATTGCCTTCCTTCGAATCCCTTATATCTGATGAGATTCAAAATTATATAGTTTTTGGTGGTCATTAATTTAAGATCCCTAAGTAAATTTTTATAGCACGAATCTAATTTTGCTTTAAAATTTGGCAAAAACATGACTTTAACAACCGAAATTGAGAAAAGTCACACAATATTTCAGTACAATCAAACAAAACTAAATCACATAATTGAACCAAACCATTCAATTAAACTTAACACGAAACATCAAAAACAGTTTAATTCGATCAAAATAACCCATTAAAAAGCGCACTAACCCAGATTGTTATCAATAAGTACAACAGACAGAATAGGGCTGTACCCTACGGCCGAGGGCGACAGATCTTTGAAGGCAAACCCCGTAAAAATGGTCGCACCCGTCAGCGTACCACTCGGTGTTCTATACCGTTCAGTTCTCGCTTGCATGTGGAAAGTATCGGATTTTATCATCCAGTACTCTCCAAATCCGTTGAAAGTGTAACCGCAACCGTCCAGTGTGGTTATGTGCGGGTCTCCAAACATAATTCCTGAGTTGCGAGGTTGATCGCGCCAGAGTAAGTTGTAAAAGTGTTAGAAAATGGAGTTATAGACCGTGAAAATATCATTTTAGGTGGAGAAAAACGAATAAAAATGCAGTTATATCAATTCATTAGCTAGTTTTCAATCCATATTATGCGAAAGATCAATTGAAATATGCAACTAAATTAAGCAATGGAAAATTTCATCAATGCAGACAAATATTGTCTTAAGAATACTAACCGCGAAATGGTGCCCTGTATCGTCTGCCGTACGCCTGAGGTCTGACCCGATAGTAGAGATCGCAATTATCCGATTCAAGACAGCACAGACTCTTCGGAACAACATCGAAAGAGTTATGAAGGCTGGGGTAGTAATCTGGATGGTACAAAATTAAGTTGCCCGAATCGTAATTATTCGATGTTCGAAGCCAGGATGTAGATGACCAGAGGAACCATGGTGTCCACCAGAGTTGCCACTCGGTTTTGACCGGGTAAAATAAATTGTCGTAGCAACATTTCTGCGTTGAGGACGCGTTGAAAAAATGTTAGTTTATAAATTAGTGAATCAGTTGTTGAATGCGTAAACAAATGGATTAAAGATTAACAAAAAAATATGAACGAATGATCGAATGAATAAACAAGTGAATGAATAAATATACTAAACATAACGTTGAATCAAAAAAATAAACGAAAAACATGAAAAACTCCAGACCAAAACAAATAATTTACACTTAACAAAACTAACCCTAGTGGCAGTTTCATACATAGGGTACTCGGTGATGAAACAAATTGGATCTCTGACGGGCTCATAATTGTACCAAACAAATCTGGAATCTGACATAGCTTGCCAGAGAGTGTTCGGGCAGTCGGGCATGGCGTCGTAATTATCCGTTACCAGGTTCAACTGCTGGTCATACCACACCAAACATTGATAATTTGGTGAGTTTAGTTTCTGGTACTTATTGAAGGAACCCTCAAAGAACCATTTTCCTGGAGATCCTTTTAAAAAAACATTGGCTCAATAATTCAAAATTGCTATTTTAAAATGATATTTGGAAAAATAAATTAAAAAATTTTTAGAAAAATTACTTCAAAAAATAAAATTAGCAATTCGGAAGAAAGAAATTAACTCCAATACACCAAATTTGAAAGCTGATGTGGAAACCTTTTGGACCAGTTAGTTTAGGCAAGTTCATAGCAGATGATGTACCAGAAGTGAAGAAGCTGTAAATGTAGAGGTTGCTGATATCTTTATTGTGATCCATCATTCGATAGCCTTGTGCATTTGGTCTCCAAGTCTTCCAACTGTTCATCTCGTAAGAATAG